GCTGGGTGCCGGCAGCGCTCGACTTGGGCTTGCTGCTTTTCCAGGCTTCGGTCCCTGAGGACGCCGGACTCATCACAGCTCGGTGGGATCAGAGCTGTGGGCATCCCAGGTGGGAGAGAGCTGATCTCTCAATGACATCATCTGCCCCGTACCCCCCAACCTGGGGACACCCCACACTGCTCCCCAAGGCTGGCACCCTCCTCCCCAGGCTCTTACTCCCATCACTCCGGCTCCATCTCCCCCAGGCTCTACACCAAATTCCAGGGATGCGCCTGGGGGACACAGGGTGCTCCCTCGGGACCCTGTAACTGAGCACTCACCGTCTTGTCAGCAGAGCCCGTAGCCAGCAGGAACTGATCGAAGGGCGAGAAGTCAAAGTCCATCACCACATCTGGAAGGAGAAGGGCACAGGTCCGTCCTCACCTCACCCCTGCAGACAGCGCGTCTGCCCACCTTTCCTCCTCCCCAGACACAGACTCTTTCCACGCACGCACGCGTGCGGGCAGGCGCGGGCAGCCGGGGTCGGATTCAGCCCCACTGAGGCTTTGCTGCGAGAGCCTGAGCCTCTCCCCGCTGTCCATCAGGGTCTTGCACCCCTTCCCGGGGGAACGGGAGCCCCGAAGGGCAGCGCCTCGCAATTGCATCTTCCCGTCTAACCCACCACCACCTCGACTGGGCTCCGGTTTCAGGACGCACATCCCCGGGAGGCACAGGGAGAAGCATGAGCAGCGCAAGGGCGTCTGTGCCAGCCCGGACACCGGCGAGCGAGGCCGTGGCCAGCTGGGGCTGTGCTGGTAACAAGGCTCCCTTTGTAATGCCCCGGCTCGGCGTGCTGGCAGCAGGGACGCTCCTTGCGACTCCGGCAGCAGGGCCCCGCGGGAGGAGGGAGGGCACCATCGGCAGCAGCCCCTCAGATGCATTTGGCACGCTCGGAAAAGTAGGTCACTGTGTACTTCTCCGCTTCCAGGAGGCTGTGGAGAGACAGGCCCGGGAGGCACGAAAAGTGAGCAGCTCACTGCGCTGCACTTGCCCTGCGAGGAGAGAAAAATCCTTTCCTCGCTCCGGAGGCATTGCTCTGGCACGGGCGGCTTCAAAGGGCTGGTGCTAAATCTCCTTAAGAAGCTGTCAGCGTTGTGCCGGCTCCCCGTGCCCCCTCCAGCGCTGCCCTGGGTGCAGCAGAGCTCGCTGGCCTGCCTGCTGG